GTTATTACATGTACATTGAACTCTGCATACTACGTAGTTGCAGCATGGAAAGGCATGGCTTAGGCCAAGACTAAGTTTGATTCTTTCAACCTTTCAACTCTCAAAAATGATAAACATATAACTTCTCCATATGATACCATTCATGACATGAGTCAATTTCAGTGAACTGGTAATGAGAATACTACTCAAACTTATCTGGTAGAAGTTATTATCTTGATCTAACACCAAATTCTTGTAACTAATTTACAAAAAAAAAAATTGTAGGTGCTAGTGGAGAGAATTATCAATCAGATCGTTAGAGTAAAAGGGCTAATGACAGTAGATGCATGTAAAATTTTACTATAATTTTTCCCATTTCTTGCAGAGGAAGATGGAGGGTTGATGGGACTGTTATTGATTTGCACGCTTCTTACTCTGGGTGTTGCCATGGCTATTGTTATCTTCTGTCATCATGATGCCACTTGCCATGAATTGTTATCATCATTATCATCTTGACAACACCTAATTGTGTCAGAGAATAGTTTAACTATAATAGAATTACAATATGGTCAGAAAGGTCAGAGTCAGAGTTGAAATATTGTGCTTTTAAATGCTTTCCAAGCTATGGAGTTGAAGATTAATTGAAAGTTCTAAAATGCAGTTTAGGTCATCAGCAATCACATAACCAATTTCTTGTGATAAAAGTGCAGGTGGTTTTCTGTAGTTGTTAGAAATAGATAAGCCAAAGTGGAGGGGGGGGGGAGGGAAGGAAAAGGGAGTAAGGGGAGGAGGGGGGCTTATTTTATGCACACTCCAGGTCTTTTCTCTCTCTCTCTCCCAGTAATCCAGTCGATGTCTCTGGGAACAAGAACAATTCTTCAACTTTAGTTTCAACCACAAGAACTTTGTTTACCCAAATGCAAACAAAGAAGGGGGATTTACTTCATTCTCTGAAACATTTGAAATAAACCAGGAAATCAATTAACATGAAATTAATGAAAATATTAAGGTATGAGGCACACAAACAGAAAGGTACACCATTTGGTGAGTAGTTTAATTACCTTAACCCTTAAACTCCTAAAGGTGATTAATGTGTAACTTCTCCCAGTAATATCCATACATTATCCAGTTAACAGGTAATGAGAATACTTAAACTTATCAGGCTGAAGTTATTTTGACCAAGCACCAAATTCTCTTATCTGGTTCACTAGAAAATGTGTAGTAACTAGAGGGGAGAATTAACAATCTGATCTTGGGAGTGAAAGGGTGAATGAGTGCTGGATTGTTTGTAGTGAAGGAGCGGAAATTTGAAAGTTATGAAAATTAGACAACTTATTATTGAATGAATATTCCCTCGACCTTAGCACACAAGTCAGGGAACTTTGATATGAAAATGATTTAAAGGAAACGCTCAAGCAAAATACTAATTTCTTAATTATACGTAGACATTCTTACAATCGCCCGTACCTTGTATTTTTGTAAAATACAGTTGGAGTACTGTGCTGAATGGTACAGAATTCAGATTGTCTTATCCTAGAATATTAAAAGGCAGCCAGGATATTAAACATGAGGCAGTTCCAAATGTGATACATTATTTAAATGTGTTTGAAAGATGGTGACTGTTAGAGCTCATTTCGAATAAGTATCGTTCACGCCGGCCAATCAAAACACGCGAGAGTGGAGCAGTTTTAACTTACGCGTTGAAATTAATCAGGGCTTGCATTGGTTTTGCTTTCCTGTGGGCTTTGATTGGTCTAAAAAACTCACTCCAGCAGTTTAACCAATCAGACGAAAAACTAACTTCCAATCGCGACTTAGTCACTCGAAATTTCCCGCGCCCTGTTTGTTTGCTGTGATTTCTCTAGTTTTGGTTTTAAGACAGTAAGTTGATATGCGCTCTATCTCAAGGAGCCAATGAGAACTCCAAAAAAAAATTTTAAAAATAAGAAACCACCTGAAGCGCAAAAAAATCTGACTGTCTAAGTCGCGCGGTTTCAGTTTTCCGTAAAATCTGTGGGGAGGAGGGTGTGAATATTCTAGTCCAGTTACGGGGCGAGTATCTTTCGACTGAATAGAAATATTTTTTTTCGACAACCTAGCATGGACTAGAACTGGATGAATACCTGACAAACTGTCAGCGATGTTTCCTTCTACCAGCGGGTAGAGATTATTTCAAAATAAAAATTGAGATGGAGACTGTTCCACCCACAACTGATATCTATCAGGGCTATCAAAAGAGATTTGTTTATCTATCCAACAACAAAGACAAGCCTCAATGTTGAGTTTGACTCCTTTTCATCCATCTGTATTGATGTCATGGCCAGCAGTTGTGTGATGGAGAGAGCTCTTTGGACAGCGCTCATGATCGCCCTAAATTCACTCTTGGAAACATTCATTCACGAGGTACCAATAATGTGTTGCTCTATGGATATCAAACTTTGGGTTTAAATCCGGTCTAACAATAGGGCTGATGAGTGCGCCATTTAGGGACATATACTTTGCTCGAAAGGATTAATTTGCTGGTTTGCTTAAAAAACAAAATCTTGAAGTATCGATTCTTAGCCGAATGCTTCGGCGCGAAATTTGAAATTATTGGAAATGATCTAAATGGCAATCAAAATCCGCCTCGGTCGACGGGTGAGAAGGTTAAACAACTAATCACTCACCGGGTGACTTAAGGAAAACTTTGGTGTATGCAAACAAATATGGGGAGGCGTTTCAATTGTTCGGCCTATTAGACATAAGACACTTTCGCGCTGTTTTGGCCCAAAATCAAAAAGCAAAGGTCAAAGTATATAATTAAAAATTTTAAAGTAATAACCATATAGACCTTGGATTGGCAAGAGCCTCGGAAGGACTTGTCTCTCGAGCCCTTCTATACGTTCTTGGTTATTAATAAAATAATTTGCATGAATTGGGGGTTCCTTTGTTATTCATAAGACGGCAAAATGCTTCTGGTATAATAACAAGGAATTCAAAGCTGATTGCCTTATTGAGTTAAAAAAAATATGGGTCAATGAATCAAAATACACCGATAAACATCGTGAGCTAAACAACGTTTTACGACCAGGAAAATTTGAAACCAGTCATCCTCTGATTTCATCGTCAGCTTTGACGCACTTGAACTGTTAAGAAAAAACTCATTACTACGCAGATACTCAAACTTAATTGACTAACATTTTCCAGATATATTTTGTTATCTACCCGGTTAGAGATTATTTTAAGGATCGACTTAACAGGGTAAAAAACTGACGAAATCCTTAGACGCTTACCGTGAGGAAAAACCCGTCAAACACGCACTCATTGTGGAGAAATATTTTGTAAAAAACAGTTAATGATAGGTGCAAATGGGCCACATATTTTTTCTCCTTTTAGAATCGTAATAATCGACAGGCCTTTTCTTCTCATCGCCATCGCCACTAAATCATCAAATGACACAACAATAATACAAAAATTCAACTACAGCACCTTATTTATGCGCCATTATATTTATTCAGCCAACTTAAATAGCCTGAAAGAAACAACGAGACGGACTAAGCGACCAGCAACAAATTAAAACACGTCTAAAATCAGAGCTAGCTTCGACTACATCTCATTCAGGTAACGTGCTTAAATAACTTTTGTTTCACTGACTCAGAATTTTTTTTAAGAAAACTATTCCAATTACAGAAACTGTGACGACCTCAGGTTGTGTTGGTACCTCGTAGCCTATTTCATGCGTGTCTGATGACGTATGATAATATTTGGCATCTCGACTGATTCCGTTCTCTGCCCAGGCAGATATCATGATTACTTATTAAGGGTTAAATTTGACTGAAATCCAAGACGATCGCGATTCACGCTTATGTTCTCGTAAACCATATACACATTCATCTCTCAGCGGTTTCACCGCAGGCCGACTCAACGAACACGGAAAGAGATTAGCAACTTGCTTAGGCAAGCAGAAATGCTTTCAGAGGCGTTTCAGATTAATCACGTCTCTGTTTCCTCCTCGTAAGTTATGACTGCCTAATGAGTCGTGACTTAGACACTGAGGAAACCTCCTAGCGAAAGGTCATGATGATCTCATTTCCCGAAGTCCTTGAAAATATATCCCGAATTGTGTGAGCACATTCGGGATCGATCATAGAAATCGTCAGAAAACGGAAAATAAACTCAATCCACTGATAGATTCTTCCTCGTGTATGCTTTTAAGTTTTATTTTTCCTCTTCCTTTGTCTCCTCAAGCCTTTATACATGATCGGTTTTTTCGCAATCGAGGCCAGCCGTAATTAATAGAAGTACGTGAAAACTCAGTTTCGGTTCTGTGTATGTGTTTGACTTGCTTAAGCTGGCACGAAAACTTTTAAGCTATAAAATGACGGTTAGCTTAAAGTTTGCACTTTCCTTCTACAACAATAATGTTAGAGACGGATCAAATAACTGGGAGAGGATCTAAAGTGAATTTTTGTGACGTCACTTAAATTCTCGAATTTCACTGTTAAAATACATCTTCGCTTCAGCTTACATGGAAAGGGAAATTTTCGCTAATCTGACTTGTAAATAGGATGGATTTTGAAAATACCCGCATTTTCCGTTTAGGGCCAACAGTCCATTGGATCTGTCATAACGAAATTGAAATATTCTCTTGAGCTTGTGAACAGCAACAAAAATGATAACAATAATCAAATAAAAAAGTACATAATATATAGCTTATTTAACTAAAAATGACGTAATTAAAGTTGCACATCGCATTAGAGACACTCTCATTCCACCCACGAAAATTGTGAAATACTTCCTCAACAAGGGCATGTTTGTCTAGAAATCCATTCTTCGATTTCCGACCGCTCTGAAGGTTTTATTCGTTGACCTGCATGAATCACGAGAGATTTTAAAGTCGGAATTCTTTTGCCAATTTAGGTCAGGAAATTGCCGGAGCCTGAAAAGCGCACGGATTGTTTGCTGGCATATGATCTCAAAGAGTATGCATTGTTGTACCATGTGATATTCATTGACCAATCAGAGACTCGCCTTAGTCTGCTGGGTGAGTGTGGGTGACTTCCGTGTTGGATCGATCGTCAGCGTATTTTTGTTGTCGAGTGCTCGTTTCGCTAGAAGGTGCAATTACTGCCAATTTGCCCTACTGACAAGAACCAAGACGTATTCATGACGAGAATGGATGATGAAGATATCGTGATCTCAGGATATCTGCGGAAATCGCCTCCAGAAAACAAATTTAAAGTCAGCTCGGTAAGCGATTATGTAAAATGCCCTGTAATTATTTAATACCTCGATTTTGTAAGTTTAAATTCGAGTGCATTTGGTCGTTATCACGATATGAAGCCTGTGAGGTACATCCATACTTATTTTATATGCTAAGTGCTTCATCAATACCCAGTTTCCGTTCCTAGCCTGAGACAGTTTTGAACAATTGTTTAATCAGGGACTTCGTTGTAGCGTACGCTGGTTGACTGATCTTTGGTCGATCGGGGCTTCTATCAATGAAGCGAGCTGATCGAAAGATTCTATCCGGCATGCTAACCCTACCATGTTTGAAGTGTTTCCGATTTTAACTCCCTTATAATGATTCGGGGTTTTGCAAGGTATAGATTACGAACAACAGACTATGATAAACAATTAAGATGTTAGTGGCATTCGCTTAATCTACAAGGTGTTCATGGTTGCTACGACTTCCGTAGGCCATCAGTTTAATTAGGGAATCCTTTCGAACGACAAATGATCTCACCGGTTTTTCCCGTTGCAACAAAGGGAATACTGAAAGTCTTAAGCAACTCTTCTGTCCATACTGGAATTATTCCTTTTTCGCTATGAATATTACTCCGACAATTCTCATCTCTCGGAACGCAGAAGTGTTCATTAATGCAAACGTTTTTCATATGATTAGTCAATGAAGATATATTTACTACCGAGTGTTGTGTTTGTAAAGGGGATTAATCTGTAAATGAGAGCAAAGTTTCTCTAAAGCATGCGAGTTTCAACTTGTTAGCCTGCGGGCTTTTGCAATAGTGGGTTTATTGAAAACACATTACATAAATTTGCAATACGAGATACGAAAAGGTCTATTACCCTAGCAATATCAGAAGTCAAAATAATTTCGTCCTTGCTGTTAGAGAACTTTGCAAATTTTAACCGTGGTAAACTGTGTTTGCTTACTATGTCTCTAATACGTTTTCTGAAAAATTCAACTTTTAATCTCTATATCTTGTCATTGTGGAAAGTTGTTGCTAACATGTTTACTAAAGAAATTTAAATATAGAACTTCCTAATTAGTATTAATAGTTAAGCCTAAAAATGTCGTAAATTGTTAGCACAGAGGAAAAAAACAAAACAAATAAGGAAGGAGGAAGGCATTTCTTAGAAAACTACTATTTCATTTTCTGAGGTGGACTTATGCTGTATATGGTGTTATTTTTCAGAGACATATTTCATTGCAGCTAAAATTTGTAAGTTACTGTGTTAACTTGTCAACTTTCTTGTTAGCTAAAAATTCACAAAAATTTGCCTGGAGGGTTTGATAAATACTTAATGTTTAAGTTGATTCCTACTAAGTTTTGAGTTTGAAGCATTCCTAGCTCAGTTTTCAAGGAACTACTGTTAATTTTGTCATTATATAAAATTAATAATTGTTGATTTAAGCTCCAGGAAATAATTTGGTCAGTATTGCACGTCATGTAGACAAGCATTTCCTTGATATGTAATTTGCATGCACTTAATATAACGTACGTGTAGTTGGTTTCAGTGACTCATCAATATTTGCTGTTGGCTGTTTTTCATCACATCTGGTCTGAAATAAAAAAAAACATCTAAAAACATCTTTCCTTAATTAGTTCTTTTTCTCTTGGAATAAAGGCCCTCTCAAGTTGCATAAGCATTAATGTAAATTATGGCTTGCTCTGTTTTGTTTTTCTGAATTATTTGCATTTTTGGCACCTGTAAGAAGTTATTTATACTAAACTTTTGATTTCAATATCACATCTTAGAAATGAATAACAAGGTAGTTTGACAATTATCTAATTTAAGGCTATTAAGTTTTTGTTGTGCTTGGTGAAACATAACAATCTGTCATTTGATTGAATGTATTACAGACAAAATTAACTCTAATTGGATCATGTTTTTTGCTTGGTTCTAACGTTGTTTTTATGTCTTTTGTAGTGGCAGAAACGCTACTTTGTTTTGCACAGAAATCAAAAACTTCAGTATTATAAGAGTGACAAAGACAAAAGACCAATAAAAGATGCACTTAACTTGGGGAATTGCAAGTCTGTTGAGTCACATTTAACAAACTCAAAATTCAAGTATGTGTTCAGTATTGCCATGGAGACAAGAACATACTATCTTGTGGCAGACTCGGAATTGGAAATGGTAAACTGGGTGGATAAAATCTGCGATGTTTGTGGATTTTCAAGGATAGATACTAAAAATCAAGGTTAGATATTTTGAGTAGGAAATAATGATGTTAGACTGACAGTAAGTGCCATGCTGTTGTGAAATTTTTGGTACGTTTTTTCCATGATTTACTATTTTTATATATTTTTTTGTGATTGAATGTCCTCACATTGAGTCCAAAATGAAATGAACAGAATCAGAACAAGGATAATGAAAGCAGTTTAAAAGAATTACAACATCATTCCAAAAGCTTCACTTTTGAGTGCATTTTTTCCCCTTTTTGTGAATAAAAAAAGTTGGCTTGTAAAATTAGTGACCTCTTACTTATTTGCATTTTTCTTCCTTTTAGATGCAAGCTCCCCTCAGAGAACAAACACACATCAGCCATCTCCCGTACATTCACGTCCGATTGTTGCTGCTAGACCTAGGCCAACAAGTCCTGTTGGATCTCCTTCTGGCAATTTATCACCCTTATCTCCAACAGGTCCTTGTCCACTTTCCATTCCCAAACACATAATGGATGAAAGAAACAAAACCAGGTCAATAAGTGATCCTCCAGACCCTTCTCCAATCCCTCAAGTTTACCGCGATAAACAGAGGAGGCAGTCAGAACAAATTGGAAGCCTTACATGTCCCATGAATGTTCATAGTGGACAGCACTCCCCTTCTGGTGTATCACCAAGGCATAACATGGCCACGACTTGGGGTCCATCTGAAACTTATGATGTGGTACCTTCTCCAAGAAGTGTATCTCAAGAGCCATATGACACTTTACCTAGTCCCCAGAGAGTTCCAGAAATAGATGATAATTATGATGATGTTCCCATTCCTCGACCAATCAACTCCTCTGCTCATCCTTCTTCACCAAGAGTGAAACCAAATGCTTGCCTTTTGTCTCCTACACAAGATGGCTATGATGCTGTACCTCTTCCACGTCCAGTCTCTCAGGCTAGTAACAGATCATCACAGGATGTGTATGACATGGTGCCTCCTCCAAGGCCAACATCTTCTTGTAGTGAGACACAGGAGGACCAGGGGCTGTATGATGTACCTCCTACACTGAAGTCACCTGAGAGAGAAAACTACGATTTTGTTCCACCTCCCAGGCGAGCATCTGCTGTAGATGAGCAAGACGGCCAAAGTTTTTATGACATTCCTCCTCTCACCAAGATGTATGAACAGGAAAACTATGATGTTGTTCCTATTCCAAAGCCAATAGGAAAAAAGAATGCACATGTTAGCCAGGGTCTCTATAGAGCACAAGAAAGTGAAAATTACGACATTGTTCCTCAACCAAGACCAGTATCTTCAGGAAGTGACCTGCAAGATGGCCAAGAAATCTATGATGTTCCACCTTGTGGAAGACTATCGGAACAGAGTGATTATGACACCCCACCACCTGTATACAGACCCAGACATTCCCAGCAGGATGCATCAAAGGAAAATTATGATGTTGTACCATTACCGCGCCCTACATCACAAGATGTATATGATGTTGTTCCCCCAGCAAGACCAGCTCGTGTTACAAGCTTGCCAATGGATAAAAACAATCAGGACCCCCGTTTTTCAGACAGTTATTGCCCCCAGACTAATGAAGATTCTTCTGATGTTTACAACTGGGTACCACCTCCAATACCATCCCCACATCAGTCTCAAAATGATTATGACACGTTACCAAAAACTAACCGTCCTGTCAGTGCAGATTCTGGGCTGAATGCCTCATTTTCAAGCATTAGTTCCTTGAAATTTGAGAACCAGGATGAAAAGTATGATGCACCTTTACCTCCAGTTCCAAAAGACAGAGACTCTGGGTCTCTAAGTGATGAGACTCCTGATTATGACCTTAATTCTGAGGATATTTATGACAGGCCACCAAATTTAGCATCTAGAGACTCCAATTATGATGTTCCTCCTAGGCAAGAAGCTACCTATGATGTGTTACCCACACATCCAACTGAGTTGTATGATGTCCCTCCAACATACACTGATGATATTTACGATGTGCCTCCGCCAGCAATCCCCAATCAAGGTATGCAGGTTATCTATTATTGACTCTTTGACTCCCAGAAGTACTGTCCAGTAGTTAGCACTTAACTTCTCCCAATATGTCCATACATAATCCAGCAAACATACAATAAGAAGACTCAAACTTATCAGGAATAAGTTGTTATCTTGACCAGTAACAAGAAATTATCACAACTACTTTGCAAGGAAATTTTTAGCCGCTAGAGAGGAGAATTAATTATCAGATCCTGGAAGTGAACCTTTTACAGCCTAACATCAGTATGGATAATCTCTACACTGTTATTTATAAATATAGTAAGGTGTTTATAAGGAGAACTTGTTTAACAATCAAGAGCTTGTTTCGTTGGTGATCATTTCCTCCATTCTCATGTAAGGAGAAAATAGATGCTGGTCACTTTTAGGGTTTAAAGGGTTAAAAGGTTTAGAGATTTGTTTTTTTCTTTTGTGGTAAGAGCAATCCATTCACCTATCACCAGCCAGTTGTAAAAAAGAAAACATTTAAGGTTATTTTAACTTCTGGTGCATGTCAGTAGGTCAATCACTTCAACAGACAGCACGAAAAAGTACAGTTCAACAGGCTTTGACAGTTAGTCAGTCCATGTCAGAACACTCCTCCCCTTTGTATAGGAAAGAGTTGGTAATTCACCTGGTAACCTTGTGGTGCTTTCACATAAGAAAAAAATCCATGTAGCAAAATCATGTCAAATCATTTTCTAGAACATGAGTGTAAAGATGTTAAGATCAGAGAAAGTATAGAATAAAAAGATTGGTCTATACGTGGCTTAATTTAATGACAATATGTACATCAATTAGCTTTTACCATCTACTTAATTTTTAAATTGGAGTGTATGGATTTTTGAAAAGTGAAAATTTTTGGCTGTCTTGACAATTTTGTTGCACTTCTACTTGTGTATTGGATGGGAACTGGGAACAAACTTGTAAATGAACATTGAAAGGTAAATGGTGAATTATAGGAGGGAAGTTTTCTATTCTTGAATTAGACTTTCTTTGGCTGTTTCATTGAAAGAAAAAATGTGTTATTGGGGGTATACACTATACCTTAATGCAGCAACGCAAAAAATTCCACTTTGATTAATATTTGATTTTAAAAGTTTTATGTCATTTGGTGAATTCAGGTGGAAACACAGCAGCACCAATGGTTGATCGCACGCTTAAAAGACCACCACAAGTCAACAGAGCTATTAAGCCAAAGACTCAGGCATCACAAGACCACAGTTACTGTAACATGGCACCACCTGTTGATAGACAAAGCAAGTACAAGAGAAACGCTATGCCTAAGCCAGAGCATAGTTACATAAACTATCAATCGCAACCACGTCCTCAGAATCTGCCCCTTGTGAGGATTTTAAATAACAACCCATTGGTTGGGTCCTTGCCGAGCCAGCGGAACATGCGGCAATCTGGGGGTGCAGTTGACGATTTAGAATATTGTGAAATGACGCCCACAAGATCACAGTGGACAAGATGCTATAGTCTTGATAAAGATGGATCATCCAAGCCACATGGTAATGATCAATTTTATGAGGACATGTCAGCAATGCAGAGCAGGAGGCTCTCTGGTGCAAAGAGCAGCTCCTCCTCATCATCCTCTCTGGCTGAGAATGATGATGTTTACACCACCATGACTCCTGGCCATGCCTCTTCACCAATGCCAGTAAGTGGTGATTGTTGTATCAAGTCAAATACCAATGCAGTAAATTTGCAGCATACTAAATTATGTGAGCAGATCCCATTTTAAACAAAGGTTTAACAGAAGCTGTTTTTCAGGCTTCCATTCTTTTACCTGGGAAGGAAAAGGGGTAGGGGACTGGGTCTATGTTGATGTTGAGGATGACCTCTTGGATGTCACATATTAGAGGCTTATATTGTACATTTGTACCCCTTAACTTCTGCTTACCACCAATTATATTTAGATGGAACAGAGGAAAAGAAAAGATCTTCTGTATGCAGAGGTAGAGATTGTGGACAGTCCTCAGCACAAGCCTCAGGCTGCTGCGGTAATCAAGAAATCTAATAACACCCACTATACCTACATAAATGAGGAATCTACCAGAGCTCTTCTGCAAACCTCTAATGCGCGAAGAGGGAATCGCTGAGTGGGTGAATACAACTGATCAAAAAACAAACATTGCACTATTTAACAATAAATGATTTCTCCCTTTTTTGGATAATGAAGGGGTTCTGTTATGACATAGAGAAAAAAAGAGAGAAAAAATTAAAGAAAATCATATTGAGGATTATGCAGCTTGTCATTTTGGTTTGTTTCAAACACTCACAAATATTTTTTTTAGAGAAATATGGCATGATGTTAGTTCATCTATTTAAAGTTGAAATTGTATGAATGCAATAAACTCTTTTTTTTTTTAAGAAGACTCAAATGTACAGTATGCAAGGTGTAGTGATTCCAGTGATATCATGATAAATCATGATTCCTAACAAAGTAACTAGTAGAGGTGTTTTTTTATTTTCAGCCTTATATTTGATTTTGAATACAGAATTTAAAAATTTTATTTGTCAGTGACAATTTACTTACCTGCACAATGTATATATCATTTTGTACAGGTAAATTGTTTAATCAACAAATGTATAGTAGATGGTATCAATATGACAAATTAATTTACTTAGACATCTAAGTATACAAATATTTTCCTCTTTTATCAATAAATTTATAATGCACAAAGAAGGAGTGAATTTGGAACTTGATAATTGTGATTCTTTGCAAATAAACATAATAAAACTTAAAAAACATTTTTAAAGTGAAATTGCATTGCCACCCTCTGATTTTAATTTTTTTTTGTAGAGTACTGTCCGTGCATGATATTTTTACATAGTTGTAAAGCATGATGCAATTTAAAGTAGAGTGATTTTGAAAGTAATAGAACTTAAAATGTTCTGTTTCACTCTTGAACTGCATCACAAGAATACTGCAATGTTGTGGTACATTGCAAAGGTGTTTAACTGGGAACAGTTGTAATTTTTCTAATCTAGAAATTAGAGAATAGTTGACAACTGACAAGGCCAAAGGCTCAAGTAAACTGTAAATTTTTTAAATTTAGTTTCTCTGGGTCAGCTTAAAGATGCCAAGTACTGCAGTTACTAAGAATGCATGTGAGCATTGAAGTATTTAGTCAGAATGTGGGCATTTGTTTCATGACCTTTGTTACGATAATTTTTTGCGATAATTGATGCATACAATAGTTGCTGTAAACGTATACTGCATCATTTTTAATTAGTTCTGTTTTGTAGAGAAGTAACACGTAAATTAATCATTACTGGTGCTGATGGTGGAATAGGAGTCACTTTTTAAAAATGTTACCTAGCAGTGATTAAATCTCCTTACTTTTCGAAGCTTAGCGTGCTGAAATTGGTTATGGTACTGTTCTTATTAAATTTAGTAACTAGATAAATAACTAAGCGTATCTTAAATTTATAGATGAAAACCTAATTGTTATTGAGTATCTGCTAAATGGTTTTGTACATTTTTGTTGAATTTCCTTATAGTGTGGTTAATAGAAATACCAATTTTTAAGCTTACAGTTATTGGTGATCATGGTAGGCTGCAATAATTTGGTAGCTACTTAAGTCTTTTGACGATGGCCACAACTTCAAATAAAAGGGGAAATGTCTGTTATATGCTAGAGTTTTTAAACAAAATTTGGAAGTGTCCATCATGAAGTTTGAATAATAAATGTATTATTATATAGTCATCATAATATTATATATTTTTATGTGAGCAAAATTAAATGACTATTTACCTAACTGGTTCCCTTTGAAATGGTCTTTTTAGTTAATGTTTTTGTACAAAGTTTTGTAAATTTATTTTTTATAGTAAAAGTTTGTGTTAGAGAGCTGCTGTGATGTTGATGAAACATAATAAAGAGGAACTTAAAAAAATATTTTCAGATCATGATGGATATATTGGTTTTATTGCATTTTTTGTTATATGTTATTTGTTGGGGCTCTTGAGTAAAGGTATGCCTTGGCGATTTTGTTCCACAGGCATTCTTGTTTTCCAAACAAATGTGATAGTGTTTTACACAAATAAACGAGAAAGTGAATATCTGCATTGGACATTTTTAGCAGTTCCAAACAAGCAGTCTTCGTTCTTGGGGTGCGTTGTCATTCGCAAATTTAGCGTAGCCGGAAGTAAATGGAATTATTTAATAAATGAATTAATGGTGATGAAGATTATGAAGACGATGATAACGACAATGAGTATAAATACTGTTTAAATGTAAGCCAGACACGAACAGAAACGCATAGAAAGACAGTTGAAAGTTCGTTGTTCGTATGCAAATTAATCCGGTTAGAATATTTGGATAGGCGATTTTCTAATAATAAACCGACCCACAACCTTTCTGTTTTGGCGCCGAATCTTCATCTCTGTCAGTTTTGAGATTGAGGTAATGACGCTATAATGAAAGAGGAAAGACCAGAAGTTTGGTTTGGTTGTGGTATAGAGGGGTTAACACGTGGATTGAGTTTGGGTTGCTTACGTGACGTCACTGTAATTTGTCTGAGAAATTTACATTGAGAAGATTCGCTTCATTCGACGGCGGACTTTAAGTCGATTGGCAGTGTATCATTTCTTTACAGCTGATGGAGATGTTTGGGTTCACGCGCCGATATCAAGAAGAACTTTGACCAAAGATATTCAGCTTACTAAGTATGTACATGATAGAAAAGATTACGCTGGTTTTGGATTGCAATGATTCAAAGATAACAAGTTAGCGAGCTTGTCTCCCCTCCTCTGAGTGAAAGCGACCGAACGATGCCAAATTAAGAGTCAACAACTTTTGAATGTGGCTTCGATGGATTAAAGAAATATGCAGCAGTATTTCCTAAACCCAAACTACTCAGAAGAATCAAGGGTTTTGCCGGTTTTTTACTTTCGCATCGATCTGTTTCACTTCCTTCCTTTGGTAGACAAATTTAGATCGGGTGTCTAGTACAATGAGCGGATCGATTACCAACCAGCCGTTCTTGGAAGAACAAAATGGTGTCATACACACTGCTAAAGGAACTACGGACCGAAAGAGCGAAGGAAGGTGAGAAAATGTTAAATTTTTAGCTTAGATTTAATCTATAACCTCTGAATTCGTGTTCCTTTCTTTGATACGTTAAGTATTCATAGCAGCATAGTTCACAATTGACAGGTTGCCAGGTGCATACTCAGCTCGAAACAGAAATTCGCATGAAACGACAACACACCGTGTATTATGAATTCATTCAGCATAAATTATTGAAGATTTTAATTTTTCTTTCAAGGGCTTATTGAAAAATATCTCTTTGAAAGTTTCCTACACCAATATCTCGTCTGTAGAACGGGTGATCTTATTGATTAAATATTTCTTGTCTTAGTCAGACCATAAAGTTTTCGGAATACATAGTCAACTTTCCACGTTGGATACGCTTATTTTCAGACGTGATATTACAAATGTTGAACATGCTGTGTTTGTGTATTGTTGCAAATATAATGACTGTCTCCCTATCTACCCTGATCACAGCATTTCATAGATTCCTGGGGGATTTCCTTGGTTACTCACGTGATGACATTTCCAGTCTCCCTTCCACGAGTCATTATTCCATTTATTTGTGCTGGAGAGTTAAAAGTGAAATCGAAATTGTATTTCAGTAATCCTTTACTGACCATGTAATATAATGACATTCTGAGTTATGATACCATGGACATGGCAAGTCGACCCAAATATTAAATTTTGCTTGGGTCTTGGAGGGATGCTTAAGTGGAATGATATAACGTTTGAATTTTTTCAGTGTTACAAGCCTAAATTATTACAACAACTGCATATGATCCTGTGGGGATAAGTGATGTATATTCATGTTTTAACTCTTTTTATAACTCAGAGGAGTATAGATGAGTTCACTTGATAAATATGAAAGATATACATGGGCCAGCATCCTGTGCAGGAGAATTTGAATAATTCTTTAAATACATTATGCTTTTGGGCCTCTTTGCTGAAAAACCAAAAAACTAAGCCTCCATGAAGATGTGGACATTAATTTTAAGAAAATAAAGTTACCAAGAAATATAAAAAATCATCTGAAGAAGCAATGAAGTCTTCTGATCTGATGACGCATCCTGCATCCCTGGACCCACCTCCCCTCCCCCTCTCCTTCAACTATGGCTTGTATAGGTCATTGAATTTCAATTTAAAAAACAAAAAATTGTTTTCATTTGCAAATATTGTGCTTTTGATTGTCAAACATTCCTCAATCTTAAGCTGTTTCTTAGTGGTTAGACTAGAGTGTTGGCTTAAACAAGAAAAAATTGTGTCATTTATCTCCTCCATTTTGCGTGACTGTGGATAGATTTCATAAGGAGAGGGTTCTTGTTGATCATTTACCAGAGGTACAAGAGGTACTGTACCTTTTCTAACAAGCACCCATGCTCTAATAAGTGCCCTCTCCTGAATAAGCACCCACCCCACAAGTTATAATTTCAAAAAAGCACCCCCCCCCCCCCTTGAATAACTGCCCCCCTCTTCCCTTACCATCTTCAATAGTGGGGATACATGAAAAACGTAATTCTATTAATTATATTTTATAACTTTTTAAGCGTCAACTACAGCAGAATATTTTCCATTCCACTAATTTTTATTTCCTTGTGCTTATAGTGTTCCTTTATAAGTGATCAGTTCTTTTCACTTTTGTGCTTTTGCTGGGTAAACTTAATAAGCACCCCCCTCCAATTAAGTGCCCTTCTTCCAATAGGTGCCCTCCCTCCCCTTTTTTTAGCCAAAATGCTAAATAAGCACCTGGGCATTTATCTGAGGAAATACAGTATCCTGGTCTCTAATTGCTTCGTGCCACAGAAACTGGGATAAACCCTGACCACATGAGCCAGTGGGCCTAATTGCTGCCTTCATCTTTACCACACTGGTGGGTGGAGACAGGCTTTGTAACCTAAGTGTGTCCAGCCTAAGAATAAGTGACCTTTCCAGGGCTCAACCCTGGATCTGCATCTTTCACTAACTAATCATTACAAACTAGCCTACTTTTAAGTTTTTACTCAGTAACACGAAGCGAGATCGTAAACGGCGCTATAGTAGTGGAGGCTTGGGACGATCCGCGTAATATAGCGTGACCCGACCCCTCACTTGTTTCGACCCGCCCCAGGCCTTGCTCCTTTTGCGCTTCGCCAATACTATCGTGCCTATGCTCTCCCAGGGGCGTAGTCGTGATCTCCTCAAAGGGGGGAGGGGGTGGGATCACACCGTGTCAAACAGAGGATACACACCAGATTGCCATGTTCACGCCGTGTTTTTTTTTTTTTTTTTTTTTTTTTTGGGGGGGGGGGAGGGAGTACTACGCGACGGGCACCCCAGGACTACTCCCGCAACTCTCCGTTTAACCAACTGACCCTCCGCCTAATGAGCTGAACCCCAAGCTAACACAGACGCTATTTATTTCAGTAACGTTTAACACATAACTGATGCTTTAGTCAATAATAACCGGTCACACATCTTTTTTATTTATTTTTATCGTTCCACTAGGAAACATCGCTGCAGTCTGTGCGATAAGTGGTCTGCTTTGTGCAGTCGGTTTATTCGCCTGTTACAACATCTCGTTGGGTTTCTTGGAGAAAACATTGCTGGGCACCCTGTGGCTTGCATGGCGATCTGCATTTTCTTCGTTTTATTCTGTGCTGTGGGATTCCTGTGGCTGAAAACGGAAAGCAGAACTGAAAAACTCTTTATTCCTCAAGATAGTAGAGCCATCAACGACTTAAACAGAGCTGAAAAGTTTTTTCGACTGAAGGTTCGTGTAGCGGGTGTAATTTTGGTAGCCCATGCAGAAAATCCTAACATTCTTGCGCCAGAATGCCTGGCGGAGGCCCAAAACGTACACAGTCAAATTATAACATTGAAGTCTTTTACAGAATTTTGTTTGACTCTCTCTGGACAGAAAGCTAGTTTCTTGAATGATTGCGTGACTATTGATCCGTTTCAAATTTTTCAAGACAGAAATTTTAGCAACAAGTCGTTGATACAAATTCAAGCAGAAATCAATACAGCGTTCAACAATACACGTTTACTAATGCGAGACGGACAGCTTTTCCAGCGAAACTTTCCCCAGATATTCGGTGACGTGACAAAACAGACAAGCAATCGTACGATTACTGGCGCACGTGCAATGCAGCTGAAATATCTGATCAGAGACCCACCTGAGGATGACGTCAACAAGAAAGTCCTGGAATGGGAAAAGACCTTTCTTGACAAAGTGGCCTCTATGTCTGCCTCCTGTTTTGAGATTTACTACGAGGCAGAGAGAAGCACAGATGACGCTATTAAAGAAAACAGTAGCGCTGATATAACTCTGGTATCGATCACCTTTACTATTATGATCTCATTCGCCTGTTTTATGCTTGGAAAATTTGTTAATCCGCTGACCGGTCACTCGATGCTCGCAAACGTAGGAGTTCTCGCAGTGGCGTTCGGTATTTTGGCGGGAATGGGTCTGGGCACCTGGTCCCGTGTGACGTACGTGAACATGATAGGCGTGGTGCCATTTCTAGTGTTAAGTATAGGCATCGATGATATGTTCATTATAGTGGATGAGCTTGATCGACAGCCACGTGATATGGGCGTGATCAGGACTGTCAAGGAAGTAATGTCGCGCACAGGAGCCACAGTTACTATGACAACCATGACTGACCTGGTTGCATTTGCCGTGAGTACATCAACTGCTTTTCCCGCTATCAGGTAAGATTTAATGGTTTTCTGTCCTTGTATTCCTTCATTGCTCAAGTTGTAGGTGTGCGTAGCCCAGTATTTAGACTGACAACGTACAAGGACGGACGTTCTCAACCGGAGTGTAATAGGCTCGACTGGAGCACTTACCACTATACTATACACTTAAACGCAAATCTCAGCAAGAACGTACCTTCCTAATAAGAACACGTGAAATTTAACCTTTTCCAGCCTTTCAGTAAGAAAACAACGACGGAATGGTACCCATTCCGATATGATTGCGCCTTTGTACTCTAACCGGCTGGAAGGGATCACTTTGAGTCAGTGTTAAAAGTCTTTTATTTGTCACTCGTTTTTTGTACTATCTTTTTTTTTTTAAAGTACTTCATATTTCAACTGCAATGCAGGGACTATTTTGCACTGTACTTCCTGACTAGATTTCTTCGTCCATCTCTTTCAGATACTTTTGTACTTACGCGGCCTTAGCCGTTACGCTCTCCTATGCTATGATGATAACCTTTTTCGTCGCCGCAATGACGTTTGACATCAGAAGAATAAAATCCGGCCGAAGAGACTGCCTGCCTGTATGCACAGTACCACCCACGAAAGATGGTCAACCCCACTGGGACGCACCGCGCCCTCAGACCTCGAACCGTTTGCTAAAGGGTTGGGCAAAATTTCTTATGTTACCTGAAACGAAATTTTTTGTGCTTGTCATTTCTGTGGCAATCCTTGCCTTGGGAATTTATGGAACGACCAAGGTGACTGAAAATTTCGATAGAAGAATGCTGGCAAAAGATGACTCTGCGCTTTTGAAATTTCTGAACGTTCGAGAGAAATATTACGAACAAACCATTCCTGTTAGTTTGGTCCTAACGGGTAACATTGACTACAGTGATCCTGATGTCCAAGACGAGATCAGGCAGCTGTCGAAAATTGTTAAGGACAATTGCTATTACCGAACTCAGGCTGTATCTTGGATTGAAGTTTTTACGAATTTCTCTGCTGCGAGTGGGATGAACATTACGGGACCACATTTTATGCCTGCCCTAAAACTGTTCCTTGAAAGTCCTGAATGTTTATCTTTCAAACAAGATGTGAAACTGTCGTCCAACGGAAGTCGCGTCATTGCGTCTCGTGTCATGGCTTTCTTGAAGAACAACCCAAGCTCTACCTTTCAGAAGGACGCCATGTTGACAATTCGTGAGGATCTTGCCAAGAAATCTCCACTCGACGTGATACCGATCACCCGTCCATTCATCTTTTTCGAACAGTATGCCATCATTGGAAGAGAGACCACAAGGAACCTCATCATAGCAGCCCTGGCTGTGCTGGTGGTAACATCTTTGTTCCTGGTCAATTTCACCGTAACACTTCTGGTGGTGGTGAATTTTGTGGCTCTGGTCCTCGAGCTGTTTGCGTTGATGTTCATCTGGGACGTGTCTTTGAATGGCGTCTCGATGATCACTCTTGTCATGGCCATTGGTTTTGCCGTGGACTACAGTGCGCATATTGCGCATGCGTTTGTGATGTCTGAGGAAGACACACCTAACAGGAGAGTCATTGACGCTGTTAGCACGCTTGGTGCCAGTGTCTTCATGGGAGGTAAGCGATTCTTTTATTCTCTCATTTCGATGGTGAATTAAACTCGAAGCCACTAACACGATTTAAATCGCACGGGAAATTAATTGAAGCGCCAAGACAAGCACCCTTTATTCGGTCCTATCCTAAGGCGTCACCAAATCAGTGTGGCATTTCCTGGGAATCTCAAGTATAAAATTTGAAACAATGTCAGACATTTATATTCGATTGGCGGGCCTTGCAACATAGCACACCAACACTCGTAAAGGTCTAACCGAAACCCCTTCATTCAAAGTCTACCGTACTGGCTAATGCGATTGCATCTCGCTCATCATGAGGAGAAGCAATTTATCAGATTACTTAGTGCTTCTAGGCTAATTAGATTGTTCCTCATGCTTCTCACGTTTTTCAACTTTTGTTATCCTTTAAACAGGTTTCAGTACCTTTCTTGGGATGCTGGTGCTAGTCTTTGCCACTTCGGAAATCTATCGTATTTTCTTCCGCATGTTTGTGGGAATTGTTTCGTTCGGACTTCTCCACGGCTTATGTATATTACCCGTTCAACTGTCCCTGTTATGTTGGAAACCAGTTGTGACTCAGAGAGACCCAACGCATCTGTTAATAAGGGAAACAGATGTTTGATCCAAGAGGGAGGGGATGAGGTGGGGTTTTGAACCCTTTAACTCCCAGATCAAATTTATAATTCTCCTTACTGTTAACCTACAATTCTCATAATGTTAGTTCAGAGAATTTGGTATTGGATCAGCTAATCATCCCCAATTTGATATTTTTCCTAATTCTCATCACTCATCTGGTTGATATTGTACTGATACTGCAAGGAGAAATTCTGTCTTGGTCACTCATGGGAGTTAAAGGGTTAACTCTTACGTTGAAAGAGACACATGGAGAATTCGAATCCGCCCCGTTAACTTTCCACACCCTAAAATCAGTGTGCATATTCTCCAAACTGTTCTCTATACATTTCCCATGATAATGATAAGGAGAATATGTTGACCAATCAATAGCTTCTTTAGATGGTGATTATTTCCATTCTCCTATTCCCTTATAGTTTGATTCAGGGGTGATATTGTAAAGAAAAGTTAAATGATGGTCACTCTTTGAGGTGAAAGGGTTAAAGCAACTTCTGTTGTGCTCGTTGGGAGAGATAGAAGTTTGTTGTACTTTGATTTCAAATCAAATTACAAATGATTACAAATGTAGTTTTAATGAGCAGACGTTCATTTTTTGAACCAATCTTCAGTTTATTAATAAATAAGGTTACGGCTAAATTCTTTTTACTTTGGGTCAAGTATTTATGGAATTACACTTTAGTGAGTTAGAAAGTGTGTAATCCATCTTGGAAATATAAAGTGGTTGGTGTTCATATCCTTATTTAAGACATTTTTTTTTTTGTCAGTTTAATCCACATTTGTTTTTTTCTCTGAGAACGTTTTAAAGCATATTTTGAAAGAACGAGTTATTATTTAAGTGGCAGTCAAGTACCGGTGTCGTAGCGTTTTATATGTAAATAGCAGCCAACTTATTTAAGATGACCATACCCTTTTGGGGATTTTGAAATATTTTAAAGGGTATAGAGTACATCTAATTATTAAAAAGTAACAACGATAAAATGTTATCAGAGTTTCCGTTCTAATATATATTTAAATTTTTCAAGAGTGACTTTGGAAAATTATGGGTTACAAGAAAAATTAAGAGGCAATTTCTCATGACGAGTGACTCTCATGTAATACATGGATGTGTACTTTGTGTGTGATGAGTAAATAGATCCATTTGTTCAACCTTACAACCTAGAAGATATAGGAGTCAGTTCTCCCCAATGTCCGCTCTATTTTTCATATGATTTTGATATTGAGAATTTGTGTTTAGAATCAACCAATTAGTATACTTTACTTAGTGTTTTTTTTCTCTCGTTACCTTACTGTTTGAAAATGGAGTAACATTGTAAGGAGAATTACCTTTTTGGTCAACCCTTGTTGTGAAACTGATTAAAGAAACCACAGCTTTACAGTGGTGGTTTTAGTGAAGAAGTCTAATTTTATATTTTACTGGATAGAGTTAGCTGTACGTAGAGGAAGACGTAGAGAATTGGGGGGGGGGGGTGGGGGGTAGGGTCCTTATCCCCTTTCACGCACGAATTTTAGCACATTTCATGCGTCACGTGGGCTTTAAACAGTGCTTCACGCGTCACGCATTGAAAGGGAAAACTTCAAATCTCAACTTGCCTCGCCTTTCTGTAAAATTAGCGCGTCACGTACTGATTTAATCATGCGTTTCGTAAAAAACCCTTTGCCACAGGTTACCTAAAATAGTCATTTAAGTGTGTTAAAATCCTTCCATTTACAGACCGCTTACACAGTGCATGTTTGCATTGAAGGCACGCGGGCTCTTTGTTGTTCGGGTCTACTTGTGGGATTTGGAAAAAGTGAAGACTGAGAAAAATGTTTGCACAAACTCGTCTTTGAAAAAATGCTTTTGAGTTTGATTACCGCATTTACTCAAATAAGCGGCGCAGTCTCGGTTCAATGAGCGAAGAAAAGCAAAACCAGGATAATATCTGATTGATATCGACACATAAAATGAATATTGCTTTTAAAAAAGACATTTATATTTGACCCTCGAAATGGCAATTATGTATTACCAGACTAGAGCAAGGGAAATGATGGCATCCAGAGGATCAAAAATAGACTCTTACTATTTCTTTCTTTCCAGCATGCTTCTTTTATTAAAATTACAAATAAAATTTCATTTGACAAGTATCACCTAAAGTAATTAAGAAAAATATCATTCACCCAACCTAAAGCTTTGTCACTGACAAATTCGTTCTCAGTCCCCCTGAATGCGATAGAAGACTTGAGAAGTGATGTCATGGTGAAGCTTTCGAGGTATGCTGACAAGATCAGAGAAAGCTGGCTGGCCTCTTCTTCTTTTTTTTTCGGCCGTCCATGGATAGTTTATCGAGAGCGAGTCCGCTGTGGACGCGCATTTCGATGAGAAATTAATCACTTACCGGCCAAGAGATGGAAAATTGACTTTATATCTTCTTGTTCTCGCCAATTTATTCAAAGAAGGATAAAGAGTACTCATTTTATCCTGTATTTTAAATGTATCAGCCGTTCATGTCATTTCCTCGAACAAAACAAAACAAAACTAAAATTCTTTTTCTACACTAGACTTGCATAAATGCCTTTTGTTACTAACCAAGAAATTTTCTACAATTATTGTCATTTTTTTGCTTTCATAGTCTTATACTATGGCGAGAGGAAGACGAAGATAGATTTGCCTGGATCTGCTCAGAGTCGACTGAAAATTCATAAATCGACTATAAATAGTTGTGGATTTGAATAAACCTGCAGTTTATAAACCCTGTAACTTCCAACGTCTCATCAGTATTTCATCCTTCTTTTTAATATGTCTTTTACATTTTGTTGTGAAAATCAGATGAAGTAATTCACCGCACGCAAATCGGCGCAGTGCACGATTTTTTTGTCAACTATTCAGCCTCAGATTATCTACTTAAAATGTGTTCCGGTTCTGTAGAGATAGACACTGTCTGCTTGCGTTTGAAAAATGGAATGTTTTTCAGTTCCATTAAGTTCTTTGTAATCAGTCAGCCTCTATTTTGGAAAGTTTTCCACCGACGCCGAAGTTGGAAAGACTTTCCTCCGAGCCAAAAGCAGCCTGAAAATTGGTAGTGAACAAAATAACTTTTTACTGGACCTTACTAATTGCTAGGAAATTGGTAAGCTTTTGTTGATATTCAATTTGATTCCTTTTTCCATTTTATGAAATAAATTTCCAGCAGTCCGATTATCATCATTATTATTTTACAAACTGACATAGATCCATGATGATCGATAATACAGAAATAAAATGGCAACAAGCTTAGGAAAGAGAAATGATTTAGAGGCAGGATGTTAAACTAGCTGTCAAAGACGATGCAGTATAAACTACACACAATAAAAGTAACTCCATTCCTTTTAGAAGCTATCATCTCGCATCCACGGCCAGCATAGGCACAAAGAGGCCATGTGGGATACATCGAGCCAGCCATACCCGAAAGTTCCCGCGTAGGTGCTTTGTAACCAGTCACACCCTAAAGTTCCAATTCGTCTTTACACCACACGGCACATTTGCTTGTGGGATTCATAGGCTGATTGGGTTTACATTTAAACGCTTTGGCAAAGTCGTATGAGTTAGACAGCGTTCCGATAACTCTAACAATTGGATGGAGAAAATATCGGAATGTTAACCTGGCGTTGCAAAGATTAACAATTAAAAAATCCTCCCCTGTATTCTGCAGACATTCCCCAAGCTCTAAGGACGTAGCTGAGGGAGGAAAGAGGCCTCTTGGGGTACGGTGTATATAAACCTTATCTGTGATATTCAAAAGTGATAGCGTGATAGAGCTCATGGTCTCTCGGTGATAATTTCTAAAAATGACACCACATTACAGTCCCCCCCCCCCTCTATGAGAGCCCCCTAAGGTACAGACATAATGTGAATATTGGACTCCTTCCAAGTAGAAAATGTTCCTTACGTCCCTAAGCTTAGATTAAACTAATGTTTGGTCTAGTACATGCGTGTTCTACCTGAAGGCACCCTTCTACATTCTATAAAAGAAAAAGAAAAATTGGATTCAAGGAGAGGTTATCTGAAATGTAGATACGGCGAAATTGCCCGATTTCAAATTCGCAACGGGCAGATGATATTGCTTTTGATTTTGTAAAGAGAGAGGAAGCTACAAAACGTATTGACCAGTCTGTTAAAAAAAACAACAACAACAACAACAACAACAAACTTCGTATTTCACCTGAATTTTTCCTCCGAGTGCCTGTCACTTAATGTCGCCAGGTACTGTTCCGTTGGACGGCTATTACTACAATAAGCCTTTGTAGTAATAAAGATGAAAAGAGTGGTTAATGAAACAGTCCACGTACTTTACTACCAATTTTCCTTTCTACTCATTAGTCATTGGCTGTTTACCCCTCCTCCTTTGATATCACATCTCTGTTCTCTGTGTCTTAATGTTCGTTTCATGTACCTCTCCCCCTTTGTCCGTTCTTTGATCCCATAACGCAACACACCCTCTCCTCTACCAGAAGAGGGTCTTAATGGGGTGATGGCTCCTACAGCTAACTGTTAAAATTTCTCTATTTCACGGCTAACGGTTGATTTTTTTTTCGTTGTGATTTAAAGAAAAAATTTCACGGTTAACTTTTTTTACGACTAACGATTAAAATTTGTCAACTTTTACGCCTAACGACAATCATCTTTTTTTCTCGCCGATTTCGTCCAATGGTTAACCCCGTCGAGACTCTCACCAGAAGGGTATTGCGTGAGAGGACCAAGAAATGGCTCTAAAGGAGACTATCACTTTCCAAGCCCCTTCGAGACACCAATCAGGGTGTGGCTCAAGCTTTAACCACTTAACTCCCAGATCAAATTTGTTATTCTCCTTTCTATCAACCCCACTATTCTTATAATGTTAGTTCAGAGAATTTAGTAATGGATCAACTAATTATCCCGAAATTGACATTTTTCTTTATTCTCATCGCTTATCTGGTTGTATTGATATTGTAAGGAGAAATTCTGTCTTGGTCACTCATGAGAGTTTAAGGAACCTGGTGTATTACCAGATCTCCTCTTGGCATTATGTAACTTATATTCATGACAGAGTTTGATTGAATCAGTTAATTACCTGACCAAATCCTATGAAGAATAGCTGTTCACTTGTGAAATTTATGCCCGGTAATCGCCAAGCTTCTTGGCCATTTTTGCGCAACCAGTTCTTGTAGGCCTAAAAATATAAAAAATGGAAAAGGACTGAATGAATAAGAACGCGTAGCGACGCTCACAGTCATTTCTATAGCGTTAATTTATCATGGCTCATCAGCGCTTTGTAATCAAATTCACGATAGCTTTAATTTAGATAGTCTCAAGTTAGGAAGTCAACAAAACAAAAAAAATCAATCTATAAATTTCACGAGGGTTATACTGCTCAAGTGTATTCTTGATATCTAGATCCGTAACTATAAGAAATTCATTTCAACTTACCATGAACGACGCTTTAAACCCTCCGTTATCAGCAATGTTTTCGCCAAGAGTAAGCTTTCCGTTAATCTACAGAAAAATGACCTGGATTAAAATCGATCGCCAGGAGAGTAATCATCGTTGATAAGAACTGTGCAAGAACTTTCTAATACAAAATTCATGATAACTCTATGTTGTACAATTATTTGTTCATAACCATGGAAACAAGATATGAAGAAGAAGAAGAATTTGAGTAAAAAATATCTCCCTGGAAAATCATACAAAAGCAACATTAGATAGAGGTTAAATGATAAATTGCTGACTGATTTCTGTGGCAATGTGAACTAGAAATTAGCCTGTTAATTTTCTACTTACTGGATATTTATCTCTGACTTTGTACATAGAATACTGGTTTTCCACACATTTTGCCTTAGCATTGAATCCATCGAGCGAGTCTTGAGACCACCACTGAGCAGTTAGCTCGCCATTCTTGTTGAATTTTCGACCTATTCAAGGCAAAAAACTAAATGAATAAATACGCAAATTGAATAAGGAAATATTTTGATAAATTAAGCATCTCATAAAACCCCTTTAAAATAAAGGAGGATAAAAAAAATTGAGTTTTGTTTTGTCGAGACTTGGATATTTTGAACTCCGGAACAAGAGACTGCATCCTCGAGCGTAGATTTGTGTTCCATATACCGACAGTCATGAATCACTTTTTTATTCTTATTAAGTCTGATATCCCGAACTGACCCCCAGGAACTTCAAGCTGATGCTACGACACTTGTCTTGAATAACTTATCCGAACCTTCGTAGCCAGCAATCAGAAAGAGAGCAGATATCGCACGACTGACTTTCCGCTTGAGCAATGTCAATCACTCCGGCGCACTGTTTGAGGGAAACATTACAGTCTTTTCGAGATCCTGAGAAGAATTCATTCTCAATGACGATCGAAGCTAAGCGGATGAGAGGGTGTTATGCAGTTGAAGATTTT